CTTTTTCATTAACTGTTCGCTCCAGGGGGAATGATCTGCCCAAATCAATCCGAGCAGCTGAGTCCTTACCCATCTTCAAGAAACGACTAAAAACACATCTGTTCCACCTTTATTTGACCCTCTAACTCTAACACTTTCTATTCTATTTTAATTCTATATTTATTTATTTTTTTAAACAAACACTAGCTTTCTACTTTGTCTATTCTATCTACTTGTTTTTCTTTGTGTGTGTGTGTGTGTATAATATATATATATATATACACACCTTGCTACGTGTACTGCGTTAGGCTAACCGAGACTTGTCATTTGCACTTATATATTGTTGCTCTTTTGTTAGTTTTGACTGCTTTTATTGTCCTCATTTGTAAGTCGCTTTGGATAAAAGCATCTGCTAAATGACTAAATGTAATGTAAATGTTTCAAACCTGTACACTATTTTTCATTGGACAACAAAAATTAAAATAGCATGATGGTGAGCTACTTTGGGGTGAACTACACTTTTGAAATTGTTGTTTTAGTGTAGCAAACCATGGTTTAAGACTGTGAAGCCAACTGCTTCTTTAAAAACATAAAAAGAGAGCCCATGTGTCCCATCTAAACTTCCTGTTTCAATAGGAAATACATCAATCCAATACAGCAGTTTCTCAACCCTGGTCCTGGGCGCCCCCCAGAACTGCACATTTTGTGTGTCTCCCTAATCAAACACCTGATTCAACTCATTAGCTCATTAAAAGAAACTCCAGGACCTGAAATGGGTGTCTGATAAGGGAGACATACAAAATGTGCAGTGTTGGGGGGCGCTCAGGACCAGGGTTGAGAAACAGTGCAATACAGGATCAAAACTTTTTAACATGCTAATTTTGTCTTTTAGCATTGTCTTTGGTATCGCCCCCTGCTGCTGAAAAGATACTTCGACACAATAATGAGAATAATCTCGGTAAGTTCAGCAATTAGACATTTTATTGACCCAACAACAAAACACGCACTCCTAAAAACTGGCCAAAAAATGTATGGCTTGTCACATTCTAAAGTGCTTATTTGTTAGAGGCAGACATGCTTAAACACTTAAAAAAAAGACATGACAGCAAAAATGAGCCCGAGACAGTTTCAATTAAATAGACACAGAATGAAACGTTTGGTCCTTGCAAGCCATGAATTACACACAGCAAAGCTTCTTTAAAGAGCACAAGCATCCTTACAGTTTAGTGGTAATTGTTATTGATCCCTACCATAATCTGGCATCACAATGAAGTTTGGAAGTAAACAGAGCCACAATATTCGCCTTTATGAACCTCGAGGAAAAGTGAAATTATTCTTTGTACATTAAACTGTTAAACATAGTCATATTATGCTGCCCTGTTTAAACATTAGTTTTGGCCAAAAGTAAAACCATTTCAATGAAATACAAATATACATTAATTCACTGTACTTTATACAACTTGGTCTTTATCCTGGATGTTATAATATCACACTAACCTCAGCCTCAGACATACGTGCATATCGATGGTCAAAACATGCTTGAAATGAACCATCAACCATCATCAGAAAAAAAAAAATAAAATTATAAAATAAAACTTTGAAGTGGAATAAATAAATAAACAGAACATCAAGTGGTCAAATGCTCTTGCACCTTTAAAACTCCAATCGAAGCATGCTACTCAAGCGCACAGACACAAACACTGTGTCCATCAGAACGCATGCACTCCACAATCTTAATTGGGAATATCAGAGCTGTTGTTGCGGTTTCCGTATTTGTGATGAATGAAGAGGAGCACCACGCCGAGGAAGAAGCAGATGGAGCCCACGGTTATGTAGGCGATGCCCAGAAAGGGGTTTTTCCCTCCCATCCAGGAGATGGCGCTGAGGATCATACGCTTCCGGCCTTCAAAGCTGCGCACGGGGTAGTCTGAGGGGCAAGCGGTTGAGGAAATAATATCAATTCAGAAATATATAATATATACAATCATCCAGTGTTTTTTTTTTTTACTGAATGGATTCTCTGTAAATTGAGTTTTAGAACTGCACAATACATTTTATAATGATTTTGATGCTGATTTAATCATTAAAAAAATGTAATCTTCAAGTTATTCATTTATTTCTATCAGTTAATTAATCGTTTCTTTCTTTCTTTTACGGTTGTAATAAATAAGTTCAAACGCATAAAACAACAGTATCACTGATCACTGTTCATGAAGTTCCTGTGCAGTTAAAAATGTTTAATAAAGATAAATATAGGTAAATACAGACAGGTAAATACTTTGTATTGTTATATTGGTACATATAAAGGTAATCTAATATCAGTATTCCTTCATTTAGTAGTTGATTTAATAAAAAATAAAAACAGTCTATGGTCAACATGACTTGACCATTTTAACTAGATTCTGACATTGTTAGTTTACCTCTACTAGTAGTCAACAAAAGCAGTTATGATTCCATAGATGATTCCATTACAACAGCTGATCTGGTGCTTAAAAAACATTTTGTTTTAATATCAACATTGAAACGGATGTGCTGCTTCATATTTTTGTAGAAACTGTGATAGTTTTTTTTTTTTTAGGAAAATTTATTAAAACAGAAATCTTTTGTACCATTAAAATTGTCTTTACTGTCACTTTTGATCAATTTAATGCGCCTTTGCTGTAATATTTCTGTCTAAAGAAAAATCGTTCTGACCCTGAACTTTTGAACTGTAGCGTATACTTAAAGTCAAAGACCACTAGTGAAAATCCTTCATTTTAAATTTTTTCTAATTTAATACATTTTTAGAATGAAATGGTATCGGTGTATAATTTCAGAACGTTCCAAAAAGCACACTGTGAACTATCGCTCTCTGCGGAGCTTTATGTTTTAAAGGTATGCAATGCAAGGATACTGTAGGTGACTTCCAGGCTGTAGTTGCCTCTGGGAAGCGTGGGTGCCATGTTGTTCTTCTTCTGAATGATGCGGTAGAGCTTTCTGAAGGTGGGCAGAGCAGCCGTGCGCATCCACACTATGAAATCCTCATTTATGAAGCCGTTGTTTTCTGGGTCAGTGTCCAGCTCATAAACAGGCTTGCGCCAGTTGACCGGCTTCGCTGTTTCTGGAAGATGAGGAGTGTTTTAGTTAGAGATACGAAAAAAAAAAAAAAAAAATGCTAATGCAACAGAGTACATATAATCCTCTCTATAGAATTATATACAGGTATATATATTTTACCTATAAAAACAGCAGTAAGATTCGGGTTACTGCCACCAGGGTTCCTGAACTTCACATGTTTGTCCGTCCACCATGCAATCCCTTTTTTCATCAATGGAATTTGGGTTTTTGTTCCATTGGGATCAATGTAAAACAAGTCCAATGTATCTGAAGCAAAGAGTGAAGGAGACAAGCAATATTAAAACTCCTGAGGAAACAGTCTTACGATGGCAAGTATTCAGATCCAGGTCTTACCATTAAACATGCTGTTAGCAATGGCTCCACACGGGGCTATAGGCTTGTTTTCATTAGTGCGGTACGGCTCACATTCTTTGCTTGGCTCCTGAAATATAACAATATTCTTTTAACTTAATTCAATAACATGCAAATGTATAGCTTCAAATCAAGCATTAAGTATTTCTTGTACTCAGGAAGCAGCAGACCTATTGTAACATGACAAAAAAAATGGTGACGGCTATTGCAATGTCACTCAGTTTAAAGTTCATTAAACGTGACAATGACTGTCGGTGATTGACAGGGCTCCACTATAATACGTGTCGAGATGTTTCTGAGTCCATGTTGCCAAACCCAGTTGTTGATGTTGTGTTGACAGACGTGTTCGCGCTGGCGGAGCATACTATGCTGTCAAACACGTCAGACAGCTGAGCTCAAAATCAGCTGAACTATTTAGTTTCTAGTTGCTTCGCCATTAACACTACAGCTGTCAATACACTGGGATACTCTGTCTTACTGATAGATTGTTGCTCTGTCTAGATAGATAGACAGACAGACAGACAGATAGAGTTCAGTTTATAGTTTACAGATATAGATAGCAGACAGACAGACAGAGTTCAGTTTATAGTTTACAGATATAGATAGCAGACAGACAGACAGAGTTCAGTTTATAGTTTACAGATATAGATAGCATACAGACAGACAGACAGACACAGACAGATAGATAGAGTTCAATTTATATTTTACAGATATAGATAGCATGCATACAGACACAGACAGACAGACAGATAGAGTTCAGTTTATAGTTTACAGATATAGATAGCATGCATACAGACAGACAGACAGACAGACAGACAGATAGATAGATAGATAGATAGATAGATAGATGTGCAGAACCTTAAGTGAGCGCTCGTCTCCATTGAGCTGGCTGTCATCTCTGGACTTCACATACCTCCGATGGTTTTGGTAGAAATTTGAGAGGCCATAGTACATGAAGACATTACTCTGAAGACAAAGTTAGAGTCATGAACTGGCACTGTTATGATCAAATATCCTTTCTAAAAATAAAGAAAAAGTCTTGCACTAGCTCGACTTCACGCATTACGTAATCACGATGGAAAGGTCACGAAGTCAACGAAGTCGGACAATTTTGAAGTTGGAGGAGAAAATGAGATGGAGTTGTTCGCCCTACCCAACCTTTTGATTGAGAGTACACAGACGAAGAGCTAACCGCGCGTGACCTTTCCAACGTGATTACGTCATGCGCGAGGTCCAGCTAGTGCAAGACAAGCATTTGTGGTAAAAAAGTAAAAAAAATTATTTATTTTTTTTTAAGAAAATGGCCAATCGTTTCGCTAGATAAGACCCTTATTCCTGGGCTGGGATCGTGTAGAGCCCTTTGAAGCTGCTAGCTCGACTTCACGCATTACGTAATCACGATGGAAAGGTCACGAAGTCGGACAATTTTGAAGTTGGAGGAGAAAATGAGATGGAGTTGTTCGCCCTACCCAACCTTTTGAACCGGAGTACACAGACGAAGAGCTAACCGCGCGTGACCTTTCCAACGTGATTACGTCATGCGCGAGGTCCAGCTAGTGCAAGACAAGCATTTGTGGTAAAAAAGTAAAAAAAATTATTTATTTTTTTTTAAGAAAATGGCCAATCGTTTCGCTAGATAAGACCCTTATTCCTGGGCTGGGATCGTGTAGAGCCCTTTGAAGCTGCATTGAAACAGCAATTTGGACCTTCAACCCGTTGATCCCCATTGAAGTCCGTTATATGGAAAAAAAAATCCTGGAATGTTTTCCTCAAAAATCTTAATTTCTTTGCAACTGAAGAAAGAAAGACATGAACATCTTGGATGACATGGGGGTGAGTAAATTATCAGGAGTTTTTTATTCTGGAAGTGAACTAATCCTTTAGTGGAACGGTCCTTCTCCGTTCTCAAACTAATTAAGAACTATTCGATCTATTCAACTTTGCGCTTATTGCGATAGAGTACAACGGTTTCCACTGGTCACTAAATATTTTACAGTTTAGTGTTTACTAGGGTAGTAATATTATATATTAATAGGGAAGTGGGGCCCAAAACTTATTTTGCATATATGTCACAATAAGAGGTAAATCCGGTCCTGCATATAACGCTAAACATATATTTTTCTTAGTGCCATGAAACAGCTTGAAAGATCAAAGACAATTTTTAATATAACTCCGACTGGATTCGTCTGAAAGAAGAAAGTCATATACACCTATAGGATGACTTGAGAATGAGTAATTTATGGGCTAATTTTCATTTTTGGGTGAACTAACCCTTTAAGTCACGTGGGTTTGGAGCATCACGAGTGAGAGTAAATGACAATATTTACTTCGGCTAAACTATCCTTTAACAGGAATGCAACACACTGGTCAGATCATAAACACTCACTTCGAAAGGCTGGTCTAGAGAGAAGAACAGGACACATCTGCAAGGAGTCGTGCTGTTCCAGCTGAAGCTTTGAGAGCAGTTAAAACATGGACTGGACATGTCAGTCCCGGTATAATCAATCTGTAAACCAGACAAACACACATATATGCTTAACACGCGGTTACATAACACTTGCGCCCAGGTTAACACGCAAGGAAAGTCCGAGCGAACAGTAGACGTGTGTCCACTGTGTATTTGTTAGTAAAATGACATTAAACAACACACACAGCGCAACAGACTCAAACCTCGAACTCTTTGATGTTATTGGACGTCACGTAGAGGCCGATTCCTATCGGGATGAAGATGAGGCCGATGATGAAGAAGGCGGGCAGCACGGTCCCCGCGGTCAGGATGGGCTGCCAGGCCGGTAGCCGCTGCTGTTTGAAGGCGGTGTTGTCGGGCTTTCTAGTCCGGATGGCGGCTCCGCCGAGCCCCGCGGATCCGGAGTGATGACCGTCTTCCTCTTTCGCGCTGTAGCTGGACGCCATCATTGCTGTAATTACCAGCTCACAGCCTCTGTACTTGTATTAAAACGCACAATCTCTCGATTATAGACGGGTAATCAATATAAATGTATTTTATATGTCCGCTGCAGTAGTTTGTCTTCACAGCGGCCTTCTTTGGAAAGTTGCTTGTTTTGTGTGAGGCGGTGCTACAGGAAGTGTCAGGCTCAGCTAGTGTTGTCTGTTTCGCGAATCATGTATATGAACCGGTTCCTTTGATTAAGTCGAACTGAATCGCGAAGCGTTTTTGAATCACTGTGCTGTGGTAGCCTTGTTAGTGAGCGTTTTTTTTTTATCGCATTATACGTACGTATGTTCTGTGTTTAATCTGTATTATTATTATGTTACCAAAATATTTACTCTGTGTTTTGACAGTTTCATAATAATTTATAATAACTGAAAGTGGTGATCTCCGACTTTAGAAAGTTTTTTAATGCAGAATAAAAAAGCAATATTATATGTTGTGAATGTGTTAAAAATGATTGAGCTTATATACAGTTATTGACTTTAATTAATATGTTAACCTTGACATCCCCATATTTTGTAAACTCCGAAATTCAGTAATGGCAGCTGCTTGGTGATTTTATAAGAAGCTTCAGTTTGTTTTATCATATTTTATCATGACAGCTGGAACACATTAGTTTACAATAAATACTACTACAGTCACTATGGATAACTTACTTGACCATAGTGATAGTTTTTAAACATGTTTGTTACCATGATGAACATGATGACTCAAATGAACCGGTGAATCATTTTAACCTGTTCACTGAAACGAACCAATTCGTTAAAATGAATCACACAGGCATCTGGCAGGCGTCGTACCACATGACACAACAGCACAGTTATGTTCATTAAAAAGAATTAGTAGAAGGATCAGATATTTTATTTTATAACAATCCAATATCTGTTACAAACTATAATTTTGCTTTATTATGTGTGTGTGTGTGTGTGTATGGTGAAAAAACGGTTTTGTTCTCCAGCAGGGTGTGTAGGGCCTATAATGCTACAGGAAAATTTGCACCATGTGGTTAGAAAAGGAAAAAGCAAAAAGCAAAATCAATTTTAAGCAGTTAAGTTTGGAAATCAAAAATGTAGGTTCTGTACAAATGTAAAGCATTACTGCTTTTTTAAGTGATGACTGATGTGTTTACTGATGACTGGTATGCCATTATTCTATGGTTTAATAAGTCTCTTTTTTACTTTAATGCAATGTTCGACCAGCATCTGTGATTCTTTTTCTCTTGAAATGTAAGATTTATAACTAATTTTAGAATATATTTGATCATACCCTGAACATATTTGTTACACAAGTATGGACATTGAATAAAATTAAATATCTTTTTTTTTTTAAATAAGCTAAACTATTTGCATTTTCTGTAGGCTATGTGGTTCAATTCATAGTCACCATTTGGAAGATTCAGATGCACCATTTGAACCACAAGATGGTGCAAGACACCAAAGCAGTACCAGACTGAAGCAGTAGCAGGTTTTCTCAGAACAGGTGTGAGGGACTAAACTAGCAGTATTTTATTAAAGCTGTGCTTCTGACAAGCCTCTTTCCACTAAAACTTCCAAGTTCTTTATCATGCAGGTGTAGAGCTTCAGACTTGCTCACCTTAAAAAATCCCAATGTATTTTCTCAAGGTCTAACATGCTCTTTTATAGTTTGTCAACCTACCATTTCTTTTTATCCATTAACTTCCTTTTTGGATTTATGCAGTGTGTCTCTGACTTTGTGATTTCTTTCTTTATTGATCTTTGTCCTCCGCTCTTTTTCAAAGGCTCATTGCTCAGCTTTAAGTTCTGAGTTTTTGCAACATGCCTCTGCTTACTTCATCCCTAAGGTCCTTTTTTATTTTTATTTTTTTTACTTCTGAGCTTTACTTTTGTGCCTCTTTGATTGCTCAGTCCAAAAAGCTGGCTAACTTTATATTATCTGTCTGAACTGCCATCCTGCCATTCAGCTCCTCACATTACTGCACAAACTTGGCTGGGTTTTATTTGAGTGCTTCCCTCCAACCTTTTGGGTCATTTAGCTGTCTTGTTCAGCTTTGCTGTGGACAGCCTCAAGACACTGCTTTACTGAGATCCTGAAACCGTGTCATTTTTTTTTTGTATGAACCTGACTCTTATTCACAAATATCAATGCAAATTATTCTAGGTATATCATCTTCTTTTTCTTAAGTTGTCGTTTGCATGTTCTATGCGGCTTCTCTTTAGCAAACAGCATGTTTAGTCTTGCACAGTTAACAAAGATCTGACCTGATGATCTTTCATGAGTCCTTGAACATGAGGAATTGAGTTATAGACATATATATGCATAGTGGCCAAAAACTAATACCAGTATATTGCGCATCACGCTAGCTTTAAACCTGCAAATGGGCTTTATACTCATATAAATAATCAGTCATCAGTCAGATACATATTTTATATATATATATGGATCTATGTCATATTGATCGCCTCCACACAGTTAAGGGTTAACAACGATTTGGAGAGTGCTGAACAAGCTAGATGATAAAATAATCTCTTTTAGGTCCCATGTGGAAAATCCTGTTTGGTTCCCTGGTGGTGTATCTTTCAGTGAAGTATCTTATGCTGCTGCGAGGCTTCTGCTGTTTGTTTAGCCTAAGCTGAAAATTCAGTGCGAGTGTAAAATTCCATTATGGAAAAAATCTTCTGTTGTATTAATATTTTGAGAAATTGGACACACTGTGTTAATGGATATGAGTCTAACAAAAAGAGGGTGATGCCTGATGGGCTGTATTTCAAAATGAGTCAAAGTCCCTCTGTCTTAGAAAGTACAGACTCTTAAGACTTTGACATTTCATTCTTTTTTTTAATAATTATTGCAAAGAATCTTGACCAGTCACATATTTCAGCACAGCATAGACTATTCCTCAAAACGTCTTCATCATTTTCTTCTTCTCGAGCTGCTTAATGTTCATGATCTACTCAAAATTTATTTAGTAGAAGTCTGTTACTGCAAATATCAGCAGCTAGTTTCTTTGTGTGTTTTTGCTCCATCCAAAAAAAACAAAAACAATTCCAATCGAAACTACAGCGGACTGGATAGCCAGTCACTGAGCTACAGAAAGTGGTGTTTCGCTCCTGAATGAATCAGTGTGTTTGAACAAATCGGTTGAGTGAATGATTCATTGACTCACCCATCTACTGGCATAACATGTAACCTTTTCTGGAGCGTGCACAGACAAGCGGAGTGATGTTGGACTAAATATCAGCCGTTAAAGTTCAAGAACGGAAACTATATATTGCTTAATTTGGTTTTAATAAACTTTAAATTAGATTAGATTAAACTGTGAAAGTGGCATTATTGTATACTATAATAATTGCATATTATTGTTGTTTTATTATTATTATATACTGTACAATAGTTTGGAATAATTAAGAGTTTTATGATCTCTGAATCTATGATTTAAGTTTTTCTGAATGAATTCTGAAGGATCATGTGACACTGAAGACGGCTGGAAATTCAGCTGTACATCACAGGAATAAATTGCATTTTAAAATATATTAAAATAGAAGATAGTTTTTTATTTTAAATTGTAATAATATTTCACAATATTACTGTTGTAATTTTTATCAATGACTGTAAATGCAGCATTTGTGAGCATAAGAGATAAATCTTAATTATTCCAAACTTTTGGCTGGTAGTGTATCTTTTTAACATCTGCTGTACCATATGACGGTGTATACACTGCGAAAATGATGCTGTGTTATTTGATTCTCATACACAGCAACAGAGATGCATAATGAGTGTCATGACATCAGAAAATACCCTTCCTTTCCTCCAGGAAATGCAAATCTAGTTGTAAACTCTTACTTCTTGTTAATGTAAATATTCTCTTAAATTAAAACTTTAAAGCTCATCAAGTTCCAATCCTGCATGTCGATGTCTTGCTTCCTCACAGGAACAGATCATATAATGATGGAGATGACTTAAAACTTTTATATGGATGCATTCATGGAGGGGCAAAGAAGCTGCTTGTTCCTCACCTGGTTCAGAGAAGGGAACTGAAGTCTGGAAATCCGACTTTTCCAAACCAGTTTGAAATCTTACATGCCTCTGCAGAGCTGCAATGAAGCGTGCTACGCAATCCAGCATGGAAACACTTCCGTCTCTTCTTTTCCTCACAACTTTTCTGCTTTCTCAGCAGGAGATATTGAAATGCTAAACCACCACGATTAATCAACCGCTTGTAGCTGGAGACACCATAAGCTGCTTGGCCAAGAGAGACACAAACAGACAGCAAGGGGCCTGGATGCTGACAGGGCCTGAAAGAAATATGCTAATAAAACAAGAACTGTTGGTGAGAAGCTATTCAGTCAATGATTTCCAATGACTCTTGAAAAAGAGGAACAGGAAAGCAAATCTGTAAACCTAAATACTGTGGTACATGCTCCCCCTTTAAAGTCTAATTATGAATGATTCAGGTGCCAACACCAGTATTATTTTTTTACAACATTGCCGATTATGTACATGAATCATGACTCCAACATTTGTAGTGTGTTAGGCTGAATTTCAGATAATGCCTTTAAAAATGAGGCCCAATGTCACAGCTGGTGAACAAACATCTTTAAGCATAAGATAAGTGATAGAGCAATAAGAAAGATCCTGAGCTCCAGAATCTGGAGGATAATGGATCCATCTGTTGTGGAGTATTTGGGTGGACACCAACAGATCCATCTTAGCCTCTTCAGAGGCCATTACACGAATTCCAAGTGGTGTTTTTTCGTCTTTCAAGTACACTGCAGTGAGCAATTGAATCACTTTATGAGAGCATTAGAAAAATTTATTTAAAATTCTTACAAATAAAATCTGGCAAAGAAGAGTATCAACCTGACAAACAGTTTCTCCTCACAGTATTTCAGTAATCAATGTAGGCTATTTTCTGTCGACAGTTTACCTTTGTGAATGAATCACTTGTCTGAGTCGACGATCGGTTCACGATTCTGAATCATTAGGAGCATTTACTATGCTTCAAGAACGCAGGGAACAAAACGAGCGCTGAACTGAATATGTACTTTAACTGAATCAACATAAGTTCTATCGTTTGCCATCGATGAAGATTTTCATCTTCATCTTTCATCAATTTAACGTCAGCCCGTGTACAGGTAAAGGTTTTCTGACCGAAACAGTATCGGATAAAGTAACTCGTTTGAGTCGTTTGAATTTGAATCGCGATTCATGAGTCATTTGCACAGAGGTCACGGGGCAGTTTCTCACCTTCAAAACTCAGGGAACAAAATGAGAGCTGGATGAAGGTAATGTTCACCTAATCAACAGAAACAACATTCAATTGTTTGCAAACGACGAAGATTTTCATTAACGACGCGCACAGGTTGTGAATTTTGTGAGAGAGTATCACAACATCGAATTAATCATTATTTTGAGTAGGATGAAACTAGTCGTTAACAAAAGGGGTCATATGATGTTGCTAAAAAGAACATTATTTTGTGTATTTGGTGTAATGAAATGTGTTTATGCGGTTTAAGGTTCAAAAAACACATTGTTTTCCACATACTGTACATTATTGTTTCTCCTCTATGCCCCGCCTTTCTGAAAAGCAATTTTTACAAAGCTCATCATTCTGAACAGCAAGGTGTGCTGTGATTGGCCAGCTATCCAGTGCTTTGTGATTGGCTGAATACCTCAAGCGTGTGACAGAAATGTTACGGCCCTTACCACTGTGATGCCTTGTCCCGGCCTGAGCGACAAGACAAAAACATTAAAGGGGTGGTTGACTTTTTTTCTTGGCTTGATTGTGTTTATGGGGTGCAGTGTAACATGTCTTTATGCTTTATTTAAAAAAAAAACGCCTTGTTTTTAATATATTTTACCTTTATTGTAAGCCGCTGTCTCCATTGTCATTTGAACAGCCGGTTGACTTCCTGTTTCTGTGACTCCCTCAGAAATAGGCAATGGGCTCAGATTGGTTAGCTGGCCCAGTTTGTTGTGATTCGTTAACCGTGTACTGCACGTTGTCCGGGAACTTCTCTAAAGCTGCACATGGCCCCGCCCCCTTTTTTTTTTGCATGTTCCCGGGGGCGGGGTTTATGTAAATTTCTGGGTTTGTGATGTAACGAACCCGGGAAGTAGCTCGTTGTAGTCCCGACCAGCCGTTTTTGTAGGCATTAAACTGCCAGCATTTTAAAAGACGATATCTCTGTTTGCATTGAACTTTCAGCGTCGCAACTTTGCAGATATTGTTTATGCTCAAACAGCAACATTACACACTAACTAACATTTAAAAAGTGAAATCGCAATCAACCACCCCTTTAAGTCTTGTGTCCCCGTAGCATTTAAAGGGGTCATATGATCCTGCTAAAAACGGCGGCTATCACACATTCGGATAGAGCTCATGAATCATTAAGAGCCGATTCACAAGATGCTGTAGAACACAGATAACACAATAGACGGTGAGTGAAGTGATATTTTACCTAATCAGCTGAAATATGTGTTACATGCAACGTCACGTGTACAGTCAAGAGTCTCGCAACATCCTACAAATCACTCTTTTGAGTCAGTTCTTCTTCATGAATTGGTGAAGTGGCCTAACAAAACAGTCTGAATCGGTGCGCGATTCAGTCTGAATCATTCGGACAGCACTGAGTCACACGTTTTTTTTGGAGCGGTTTCACACTCCATCATTTAGAATTCAGATAACAAAAAGGCGCTAGAAGTGGATATTATTTATAATCAACTGAAACAACTTGCAAAGTCGTTTGCCAACGATAAAGAAAGTATTTTAAACTCAACACTTGCACGCTAGTGAACGACTCTACTGCAGTGAATGACCAAAAGTGCATCAAAACAAAAACAGAACACAAAAATGGCACCATGTTTTCACTTTTGGACACTTTTTAACTTTCACCATGTTGTTACCATCTGATAGCCTACATCAATTTACTTGAGTAATGAAAATGTTTGCAGTGCCTCCCTCCCTCCCTCATCTGATGTGTGTAAGTATAATTTATGACACATGGCCTTTTGTTTTTGAATGTCTTTATGCTTGTTTGCGAGTGTGTACTTTATGTATGCTACTTTGTTTGTCTGTTTATGGCTATGCTTCTTTATGAAAACCAGCATGCATTTTGCATATCTTTCCAGTGTCAAAAATAAGGACAGATTTCTTGTTTTTACAGTACACCCGTGTTATTAATTAATTTATAGTAATTATATTAATTCATTTATTCAGGCTGAAATCTGGTCATTTAAAATCTTATGTGTAATAATAATTTAAAAAAAACTTCAATTGCTCTTGAACACCCAAGGTCTATGTGTGCAAATATTCTTAAATATTGTTTTTTTAAATAATTTTTAACCATAAAAGGGCTGCCTCAATCTAAACAGCTTATAAAATATACGTAGAGAGATGTTCTGAGCCCTGATGAGATTAAGAGGTTAAAAACAAGCTGTTTAACCATCAAAGGGACAAAAGCTGGTGGCATCACAGCTCAAACTAAAGAAAGTGATTTGTTTTGACCTTAGGAGCGAAAGACACAAAGGTCAAATCTGACAGCAGGCAATGACAAGCCTCTGCAAATATATTTACCACACAAACTGTCATATGAATGGCCACGGCAATCTGATGCCGACTAATCTTGGGTGCACCGGTGTCGGTATGCCTCCCCTGAGATCCATCTGGCCGCGTTGCTCCGTAAGGTCACTCTGGTGGGCGTCTGCACCCACTCTTTTCGGCTACACGGCCAAGCAGATGGCCTCACAGCATAAAAGGTCCCTATGTCTTAGAATTCACTGGGAAAATGATGAGTCAGCCAGGACGTGGCCTGCCTTCAAAAATATCCCAGCCTGCAGTGTCCTTGCTACCCTGATCAGCCATCCACATGATGACGGACTTCCATGATGTGCCATCTTTCATTAACCTCCCTGTGAGTGATGGATTAACCCTGAGGGCAGAGACAGAGTCATAGATTATTGAGAGCGAGTTTGCCTTCGCTCAGCCTCCCTGCTGCTTTAACTTCTGTATCACTCTTTTCTTAGACCAGTTTTCAAGAGGACAGTTTCTGAACTTTTAGATTTTAGATGTAATATTTTTGACCAATTATAGCAGAGGTGAGATTTTGTTCAGGGAATCTGATATAAAAAAACAACTGATACCTATAAGATAAAAATGACCGATAACAGAACTTTCTGAAGGATCATGTGACACTGAAGACTGGAATAATTTACATTTACATTTAGTCATTTAGCAGACGCTTTTATCCAAAGCGACTTACAAATGCGGACAATGGAAGCAATCAAAATCAACAAAAGAGCAATGACATCCAAGTGCTATGACAAGTCTCAGTTAGCTTAATGCAGTACACGTAGCAAGTTTTTTTTTTATTGAAATAATATGTCACAATATTACTCTTTTACAGTAATTATAATCAAATAAATTAATTAAAATGAAATAAATTATTTTGAACTTTTGACCGGTATAGTGTATATGAAATAATTATAATATATATATATTAAAATGTAATATTTAAAAATAAATATTATATATATAATTACCTATACTTAAATATATACTACTATGTATATTACAATTATTATTTTATATTTAAATAAACTACCAAATGCCAAAAAAGGGCAAAAATAATGTGTGATTTCTTTATTCAGCATTATTTTAAAAATAATTATTGTTTTCAAACAGGTTTCTGAAATGAATTGCCTGTCTGCCATTGGTCAGCCTAACAAATCATTCTGCTGTTTTACTAGAGCTGACAAAGAGGGGCAAGGTAATATTAATAATAAATACATTAATAATATTTATTTAATTAAATTGTCTAATATTTGTGGACAAGTGCAGATGTGAAGTCTTTTGTAGATAATTGATCATTTGTATTATAATTTGTTGATAATGTGTAGCGTCTATTGACTATATATATATATATATTTATTTATTTTTTAATAGTGGGCAAAGAGTTGGAGAACCGCTGCAGGAGAATGTTTTCTACTATACATCAATGACACTTCTGTATTGATTTCTTTTCTATCAAGTAACCATTGCGTCAAATATATCATGTATTTAATTTCTGATCATGAACCGGTTACTTTCACTCTTAAAAACACAAGAATCAATAAAACTATAGACAAGTGGCAATTCAGTATGTCTCAGTTGACAGATAAGAACTTTAATGAATACTTCAAAAGACACAGGACATCCTTCATGAAGACAAACGACAGGCCAGATATTAAAACGGCAACAAAAAATTAGATCATACTTTACAATGATCTAGTGGCATATTGCTTTGCCCTTCAGAGAATATTCCAGATTATGTTGATCCTGATGTACACTACCAGTCAAAAGTTTAGAATAAGATTTCATTCCAAATATTTAATTTAAGATTTTTTAATGTTTTTGAAAGAAGTCTCTTTTGCTCAGCAAGGCTGCTTTTATTTAATGAAAAATACAGTAAAAACAAAAAAATTCTGCACCATTGCTCCAGTCTTCAGTGTCACATGATCCTTCAGAAATCATTCTAATATACTAATTTAGTGCTCAAGAAACATTTCTGATTATTATCAATGTTGAAAACAGTTGTGCTGTTTAATATTTTGTGGAAACCGTGATACACTGCCATTGAAAAGTTTGGGGTAAGAAATTATTCGTTTTATTTATCAAGGAAGCATTAAATTGATCAAAAGTGACAGTAAAGACATTTGTAACGTTACAAAATATTTCTGTTTCAAATAAATGCTGTTCTTTGGAACTTTCTGTTCACCTAATAATCCTGAGAAAAATGTATCTCGGTTTCCGAAAAAGAAAAAGAAAAATTAACAGCACAACTGTTTTCAATGTTGATAATAAAAATAATTTTTAAATACATACATTTTAAAATATGTTCAAATTGAAAATACTTATTTTAAATTGTTTTAAATGGTTTTTACTATTTTCCATCAATTAAATGGTAAGTCTAAGAGACTTCTTTAAAAATATATATTTTAAAAAATCAGAATTATTCCAAACTTTTAACTGGTAATGTATTTGGTATGTTGTCAGTTAACAGAGACAATTATTTAAACTTGTCCTTCAGTTTGTAAAAATAAATAGAAAACATGAGGGTGAGCAAATCATGACATTTTGGGGTTTCTAACTACCCCTTTAACTCCCTGTAGTTGATGCCTGGCTGTAGACCTCGACGAAGAACTCACTAGAGCTTCAGACGTGGAGGGACAGATGAAGGCCATGGCAGTGGGGTTGTTCTTTCTAGCACAGACAGAAGAAAGTGTCTTCCCTGAGAAGGATATGAACCCACAATCAGGTTCTTGGCACAGCTGTAATAAGATGTTTGGTCATTATGTACACACCAGAAAACCAACCAATGAGTACAACAAAGACATACCAGTCCGCAAATCTTTAAACAGGTGAATGCATTATTTAATAATAGTCAATAGCAAATTTATTAGGCTTAAAAATCCACTTGGTTGATGTTTTGTGCTGGGAGTGGTTCAGGAGAAGCAATGTTCCACTTACTCAAGATTGGCTCTACGAACGCTTGTGTTTCACAATCCAATCAGTTCCCAATGGATACATTTAAATCCCACCCTACATTTAGGCCAAAAGTTTGTCAAAACAATAAGAAACTGACCACAGTGAGTGATTTCATTTAGTTGTTGTTGCTAATGTTGGACCATGAGCTGGCTTTTCACACATGGCTTCTGTATGCTGGTTGTTTTTTGTAAATAACAGTGAAATATTTATATACTGTAAATATATAACAAAAATAGTGTCGTGCTGTTTATTTATTTAGTTATTTAGCATTAGTTGCTTAACCCACGCACAAGAAAAATGAACATCATGCCAAGTTTAGCCACTCTTTAGGCAGTAATTTTATCATTTATCTTAAATGGCATTAAGCTTTATCTTGCCTGAAGGTAGCCCACTGAAACACATCTGAAAAGCAAATTAGAAAAAAAAAACATGAAATTACAAAAATATACATCTGAGAAGATGTTCAGAAGCAGTTGATTCCATCTGTAATTACAGTAAGTGTGGTTGAGCTTGACATTTTGACACTTATTTTAGTAGAGAGACTGAGAACTGTCTTCACGTGGTCAACAGAAGAACTATGATGTTTTCATATTTTTTAGTACCACTGAAAAGTTTGTGGTCGGTAAGTTTTTTTTAATGTTTTTGAAAGAAGTCTCTTATGCTTAATAAGGCTCTTATGCTTAATAAGGCAAACAAACAGTAAAATCAATAATATTGTGGAATATTATTACAATTTGAAATAACTGTGTTCTGTTTTAATATATTTTAAAATGTAATTTATTCATGCAATGCCAAAGCTGAGTTTTCAGCATCATTACTCCATTACTCCTCTTCAGTGTCACATGATTTGCTGCTCAAGAAAAAAATTCTTATTATTATCATTATGATAAATCAGTTCAATCTTATAATATATCTAATAAATAAAAGTTCAAAAGAACAGCGTTTATTTGAAATAGAATTTTTTTTGCAACAACGTAAAAGTATTTACTTTCACTTTTAATCAGTTTAATGCATTCTTGGTGAATTGAAATCATTATTATGAAAAAAACAACAACTTCTGAACAGTATAGCTCTTTGTTTGGGCAGGCTAGAGTGAAGCGAGAAGGTTCTCACAGACTCTCAAGCTAATTACTTGGGTTCGTCGGGAGGATAACGTTAATACCGCTAAAGCTTTCAAAGCAGGAGGAAAAATAAGATTGCTTTGTCATAAAATCAATGTCTCTTTATGAAGAATTCATTGCTCTGGTGTCGTTCTCCTGAAAGCTATAGAAGTTCTTGATTAGCGTCGAATCAATACCATGTTGGAGACAGTGTGTGAATAACCGGAGGGAGATGGCGGTGGGAGCCCCAGAGTGAATGAATCCTCTCCATCCGTGCGGATCTGTGTCAGTTCTGGGGAGTCTGGGTTAATTGGTCTGAGAGAAATCAATAACTTCTGCTAATTTGCCTCCAGATCTCAGCAGCTCAGTGACACGGAAGGGAGTGCTGGATGCGTAAGAATCACAAGCTTTTGATGAACGCAGCAATTACATGCCCTCTAGTGCTAATGATGTGTATTTTCCATGTCTGCTGCGTCTGTTTTAGTTCAAAGCTCAATCACAGTCACTCAAATCCAGCGTGAAATTTGGTCACTGAACAGGTCGAGACACTGGACACCGTTTTCTGACGGTTTAACGTTAATGATTATGTATCAAAAATATCTTTAATACTTCGATTTTTAGATCCACTCTGATCTGCGTGAAATTTGGTCACTGAACAGGTCGAGACACTGGACAACGTTTTCTGACGGGTTATAACGTTAATGATTATGTATCAAAAATATCTTTAATACTTCGATTTTTAGATCCACTCTGATCGCTTTCGCGCTGCTTTGTTACTTCTGACTTTAGATACCTTGAGAAAGGAATACAGCTCGACCCAGTTAATAACTTAATGAGGGAATCTCAGGAGCAAAGTCTCCATCTGTAAGCCTGGAGTGATGGGAACCATAGTTTTCTCTTAAAGGGAGAGTTCACCCAAAAATGAAAATTCACTCATCAGTTACGCACCATCATGCTGTTCCAAACCAGTAAGTTAAGACTTTTGTTCATCTTCAAAGCACAAAAGGAGAAATATTTGAATCTTCTTTTATGGATACTGATTTGTTTTGCAATTAGCTATAGGGTTAGATTTCTTTATGAACTTCATAGTTTTGGTGGAATGGACCTTTAATGGGGGAACAGAAATCTCTCAAGTTTCATTCAAATTATTTTTTATTTGTGTTTGACATTGGATTGTGGAAAAGTTGGTGTTACATACCAGAATGGAGCCAGATGGATGGCCTTTCAAACTTCCTTCTTTTCTATAAATCACAAAAGGAGAAGTGCAGCAGAATGTTCATGCTGCTCTTTTCAGAACAGTGAAAGTGAATGGTGACTGTCAAAACTGACAAAAAGCACCTAAACTGTATAAAGCCTACTGTGTCATATTTGATATGCAAAACCTGTTGTACACAATCCACTACATGCCTTCTGTCGTATGAGGGGAACAGAAATCTCTCAAGTTTCATTCAAATTATTTTTAATTGTGTTTGACATTGGATTGTGGAAAAGTGGGTGTTACATACCAGAATGGAGCCAGATGGATGGCCTTTCAAACTTCCTTCTTTTCTATAAATCACAAAAGGAGAAGTGCAGCAGAATGTTCATGCTGCTCTTTTCAGAACAGTGAAAGTGAATGGTGACTGTCAAAACTGACAAAAAGCACCTAAACTGTATAAAGCCTACTGTGTCATATTTGATATGCAAAACCTGTTGTACACAATCCACTACATGCCTTCTGTCGTATGATTGATAGTACATTTTAACAAGTAAAATACCTTTCAGTATAATTGTAAAAGCATCTCCCTTCAGGTCGTGGTTCACATGTCTTTTGCTGTGAAATCTTTACTGAATTTATAAAGCGTAACTCTAAGAGTAACTTTTATATTGTTAATAATATTTCAGATGAACACTTGCTGGACTGAATTCACTTAGGTTTACTTGATAATCGGTGCATCATTTTTTTCATGTAAAATCATGGTAAAATGTTAAATAGAGAGCTTTGATTTTAAAACTAGTCATTCTATCATCTTTCTAAGACATATTATTAGATATCATTTTATTAAGACATTACTGGGAGATTTAGAGTTATAAATGATATTCATACGCATTTGACTGTTATGAAGATCTCATTGATTTACATTACAGAATCTTATCAGAATTTCATCTTTTTGGCAATATACATATGAGCAACTGCATCAAATTTGCTCAGTTTGTGCCTCTGAATAATATTGAGGTGGTTTTTTTTTCCCTACTCAAGTATAAGCACCATATTTTAATTATATTATACTATATGGTCCATAAAAGCATGCAAACATTTAAAAAATATATATTCTGTATAAAGTTTCAATAAACAGTTCCTTTTCAAAAAACAATCAAACAAAGAAACAAACAAAAATATTTCTCAGTATTGTTTCATATGTCAGGCTTTACTTACAGAGTTAAAATGATCATGAAAGTAGTCCAAACAATTCATACACCATATTCCAAGCACCAAGCATTAATTTAGTCATTAATTATGCATCTACACTCTAAAAAATGCTGTGTTAAAAATGGACAAACCCAGCTATTGGGTTGTTTTGACCCAGCAGTTGGGTTATTTTGAGTCAAAACAACCCAACCGCTGGGTCAAAACAACCCAATAGCTGGGTTTGTCCCTTTTTAACCCAGCGCTGGGTTATATTTAACCCAGCAGTTTTTTAGACTGTACATCACTGCCTCAGTTTTAAAATCACATTCACACTGCATAAATTCAAATACCATCAGAATGTGTCACATCATATTGAAGCTGAAGTTGTAAAGTGGGAAACTCGGAATTCTAGATTCAAGTTGTGCTGATTTTAAACATGGTGGAAAACACTGATCTATGTTATAGACAATATAATATAATATATCTATAGTCTATATAGAGAGATCAGTGAGCGGAAAGCAAGTCTATAGCGAATGGTATAAAGTTAATTACTCAAATTTCACAGTTTGCTTTGTGTATAAAAAACATTTAGTGAGTAAAGAGCAGTGAGTACAGAATTTTTGTTTTTGAGTTCCTTTAATGCATTAACTGAACAGAATCGAAATCAAAAATGTCTGTTTGTATTATTATTGTACTATTACTCATGCAGACTGTGTTAACAATCCATCAGATAACTGAAGCAGAAGGCTCACATGACTGACGGCTCTAATGGCTAGATGAATATCAAACTCTTGTCTCACTCGTGACCTTCTCCATTGCAAACCCAGTTGCCATGGCAGCCAAGTGTGATGCTTTTGACAGGGCAGATGGGTGCAAAGGTATGTGTTCATCACACGCTTGTATACACACACGAGTGTTAACTTTGCCAGTGGATCTTACAAAAGTGATTTTGTTGGTGAATGAAGAATCTCTGCGCAGACTTCAGACTTCTTAAATGATTTCCACGTGAACACCAGCAGCAGACAGTCTACACGCTGGCCTCTGTCAGCCAATGCTAATATCATTTACAAGGAAGCTTTGAGATCTATATTGTTAAACCAGTATAACTTTAAAGCTTATTGAATTGCAGAGACGTTAGCGTGCATACAGTAACTACATTGCTTAAGTAATTTCAGCTTTTTTGCTAATATTCCATTTTGCTAACTGGAGAGAGCTCTCCATTAGCCTTCACATTCATTTCAATAGCAGTTTTTCATATGACACCTGCTTCATTTATCATTATTGCAACATTATTTCTTACAATAGTTTTTTTTCCTTGTGATTATATGACTTTGTATTTATCTTATATTTCAACTTTTTTGTAATTCCCCCATTTATCTCACAATTGCAATTTCAGATCTCTCTCATTGTATTTGCAACTTTCTTTCTAACAATTGCGAATTTATTTCTTATAATTGTGCTTTTCTTGTAATTATGACTTTATATTTCAAAATTGTTACTTAATTTTTCCTGTGACTTTATATTTCCCCATTGCAACTTCTCATAATTGTGACTTTTTTTCTCACAGTTGTAACTATTTCTTGCAGTTGCTTTTTTTTCTTGTAATTATAACCTTACATTTGTCGATTTATTTTTTTGCAACATTCTCAATTGTGATTTCTTATAATTGTGACTACTTCTTGTAATTATGATTTTATTTCTCAAAATTGTACAATTTGTCTTTCCTAAAATATATTTACTAATTCCTAATTATATCTCATAATTACATCTCATTTTCTTCTTGTAGTTGTGTTTTTTTATTTCTAAATTTCAACTTTTTCATAAATGAGCGTTATCTCACAATGTCTACTTCTGATATCACAATTATGACATTTTTTTTTTTTTTAAATGCCACTTTGTCAAACAATTGCAAATTTAATTCTTATAATTGTGACTATTTCACGTAATTATGACTTTTTTCAAAACGGTTACTTCATTTCTTATAATAGTAACTATATTTCTCACATTTGTGACTTTATATCTCACAATCTCAAATTTATCTCAATTTATTTTTGTAATTATGCCCAAATATTTCACACTGCACGGCGTAACTTTATTAAGGGCCCAAGCACGAATAGTTCAAGGACCCTCTTGGAATTGCTCCGTTTATTCTTATATTAAATTTCATCTTACAGTTATCTGTTTATGTTTTGCTCAGAACTGGACTTCCATTAATAACTACTGATGCTAACCAACACAACCTTAACTCCCCGAAACGACAAAACCCTGCCCTTCAAAGACATGTCCACCAATCAAATGTGAGCGAGCCTGAACGTGTGAAATGATTAATAGGCAGAGGTCCTTTCTGATTGGCTGACTTTCGGATAGCAGTTGTGATTTCTCAGGAGGTTTATTTCAGTAATATCTGTCAGGCAGTAAGGATATTTTATGTGTGGTCACATAAATCCCTCACAGCACCTTTAATGTGGGTTTACTAAATAATAAAAAATAAAAATTATGTGTCTTATATTAAAGAAAATAAGGATTCTGTCCATCTACGTCATTCATGCTCTATGTCTGCATGCATTTAGACATCCAGAGCACCCATCGCTGTCCATAACAATGCAGCTCAAAGCCCTGGACATCCATCTATCCATTTAAAGCAGCATAGCTTCTCCCAGAGACCTTGAGGCGTCGGTTATGGTGGCCGATCCATCAACGTCCCAAGTGAGTGATGATGTCATCACCACAGGCCATTTGACTGATATATTTTTTTGTCAGCTCTCTCAGGAATGAAGGAGAAACACCTACAACTGCCTTCCTATTAACTGTACTGCTATGGCATCTTCAGTCCTCCGATCAACACAGGCCGGCTCCGTACCGCAAGTGAGCGACTGCCCCTTCCATTCTCTCTCCTCCACAGAGCAGTACCCACAGCGGTGCCTCTCAACGGCCCATTTCACCAATTACTGTTTTCACTGAACCAATTGAACCCCAATCGTCTGCTTTCTGAGAGATAATAATTTGTAGCAAACTGAGGCCGACTGTGTCTCCCATGTACTCCAGCAGTTTAATTGCCATAATTATGGAATTACAACCGCAAGTGAACTGCCCTGTCGCCATGGCACTGAGTGAATGGAGATCTTACTTGGGCTCTTCTGTAGAGCATTAAGAAGGACAGTGATAAGCCTCACAGGACGCTGCAGTAGATAGAAAAGAGCTGAAAGGAGCTAATTAACCAACCAGTAAAAGCTCTTCCTCTATATTCTATCTGACATCTCCTTCCTCTCTTTCTTATTCGTTCTTGCTCTCGTTTCGTGTAGATACATTTCCCTGCATGATTCATTTGCAGCATTTACTGGAACCTCTGCTCTTTTCTATTTGTCAAATTTATGGAAAGACGTTCAATTCTACTTTAATGGAGTCTCTCGTGATGTCTTGTGACTGATGTCCTGAAATGAATCGTTATTTGTACAAAAAGGCAAACAATGCATTTATTTGAAGAGACAGGACATTTGAAGGAGAGAGAGGGGGAATGGGATCAGAACATGAGCTCCTTGAGCCAACTGCTCTTATATGTGAACAAGAACCATAAAAGCAGTCTTAAGTTGCTGGGGTATATTTGTAGCAATAGCCAGAAATACATTGTATGGGTCAAAATTATCGATTTTTCTTTTATGCCAAAAATCATTAGGATATTAAGTAAAGATCATGTTCCATGAAGATATTTTGTAAATTTCCTACTGTAAATATATTCAAACTTAATTTTTGATTAGTAATATGCATTGCTAAGAACTTCATTTGGACAACTTTAAAGGCGATTTTCTCAATATTTAGATTTTTTTTGCACCCTCAGATTCCAGATATTCAAAAAGCTGTATCTCGGCCAAATCTTGTCCTATCCTAACAAACCATACATCAATGGAAAGCTTTTATATTCAGCTTTCGGATGGTGTATAAATCTCAATTTTGAAAAATTGACACTTAAGACTGGTTTTGTGGTCCAGGGTCACATATGACAAATGCTAGTAACATCATCATAGTTCTGAGATTTTTTTTATTTATTTTTTTTTATTAATAAACTTTTTTAATTGATTAAAAATCTATTCTTTTTATTTATCTGTGGCATGATCAAGAACAGAGACAAAATATTTCCTTTTAAATTATATACACCGCACATAGTACATGTTATAAAACCTTTTGATTACCCTCTATGTTCATCTGTATATGATTATCAGAATACCCTCTGATAAAAGTGATATTGATTCATTTTAAATATTTTAAATATTTTACTTAATGCTGGTTAACATATTTTATTAAACTACCTTTCAAATATTTTCATTTGAAAAAATAATTGTATTATATTTTTCTATTTTCTAAAATGTTTCTAAAAATGTGCATTATTTCTACATTATCAGCACACATTTTGATGCATCTGGCAACCATCCAGTACACCATATCATGGTAGTGAGTTTAGAGAGTAATATGTGCAATAATATTTGTACACAATTTGATAATTTATATATTCATAAAATTAAAATATAATCACTCCTAAATTTAGCATTTACATTTACATTTCGAGTTAGTAGTGCTTACCTCTTCTTTCTGTTGGAGTTTATACCAAAGTCTGAGCATTTTTAGCCAAGCCTGCTCCCCAACTACCCTCCAGATGTGTCTCCTTTCAAATATTCTCTAATGAATTTTTGCATCAGTTATAGTAAATTGACCATTTTAATGCTATTAGGATTATGGGAGCTTCGGTACCCTGCTTCTTATTGGAATATTACAAAAGGAGCATTAAATGTGTAACAAATGTTCTGTTACTATCCAATCCAGTGTGAGTCAGGGACAGATCACTCTCTCAGTCAGCATGTGCAGGTCCTCAGATGACCAGACCGTGTGCTCTGTGACTGTCCTTTGCTCAGTTTGATCTTGGCAGGGTTATCTGGTGTTCTCAGTCATGCACATGGTCCTTTTTGACTGTTGAGGCGGTGGATCCTCACTTTGATAATCG